AGAAATCGGATATTACAGTAAATTATTAGATTATTGCAAATATTATACATTAAAATTACAAATTTTATGTTTTATACCTAGTATCNAAGTGTTGTATTTAAACGAAATGTAAAGAAATCAAATATATACGGTATAATTACAGTAACTTACAGATTTTTGAAAACGATTGCGACAGCTAGCTGTTTAAAAGAATCCATTTTACTTATACTTAATCAATAAATAAGTTTGAACAAAGGCGAATGAGACATACAGTAGCTCACAAAAGTATTCGAACACCTTTTGAAACGCGATAACTNTTTTAAATTACTAAAGAATAATTAACATATAACTTTTTTCAAACTGTACTAAATGACTCAATTTTGTTTTTTAAAAGATAGTGGGACTAATCTACCAGACAATAACTGAAATGCATTTTCTTAATTTTGCTCTTACTTGGAATGACAAAAAAAGTAAAAAAATCTCGTTCTTTAACTTTTTTATTTGAGCTCATAATTTCGATAAAATTTTCAGCATGCGAGTTACCGGGATATACGAAATGGATCTTTTAAATTTTTGTTACAGGCTCAGATAAAAAAGTTAAAAAACGAGAGTTTTTTTACTTTTTTTGTCATTTCAAATAAGAGCGAAATTAAGAAAAAGCATTTCAGTTATTGTCTCGTGGATCATCTAAAAAACAAAATTGAGTCATTCATTATTGCTTTTTAAAAGGTGTTCGAATACTTTCGTGAGCTACTGTATATGGGACATATGGACCGTCATTAGCATGTTCTCAGAACATACAAAATGTTCCTCACGGATGTACATAAATACCACGGATGTCCTTGTGGTATTTGGGAACAGTGTAATCACTGTCATATTCATTCTTATTCCTTTACTAATTCATCAATTATAATGTAATTTAAAAGAAAGGCAATAACGCACTTTAATAAGCTTAAGAATTAACAAACTATCGCGTCACATATTCAAATTTCACTAATATTGGAAGTGTTACTTCCAAAGTATCCGATTTCATATGGAATGACAATATGATAAACATTCATTCATTTAATTACTAGTATTACGATGTAATTATAATTATTTAATATTTCAGCTGGTGATCGAGGAAGAACTAAAAAGATAGGTAAGTCCAATTATTATAATCTTTATATTTTCTTTCCTCCTTACTTTTTTTGATTTGTTGTTTCTTGTATGTTTTTTTCTTGCTATCATGAATTCTTTTATTACAAAACGAGCACGTAAACCCAGAATTTTTCTCAGATAATGGTTATATTCTTTTCTTTTTTTATATTCTTTTCTATGAGGGGAATACATTACGTATGCCGGCCATGGATGGTATTTCGGCCGGTAGTGTGGGACTTCCCGGTTGACCATATCCAGGTATACCCACTTTACCGTCACTAGCTACTTCAGGATCATAGCTGCCCGTGTGTCTGACCATATTGTTTTTTGTCTCCTATTGTTACGGCGATACGTACCCTTTCTCTTTTCTTCCTCATTCTTTATTCTCGCCTTCTCCTTGAGAATTGTTTAGAAAAAACCTTTTTAACGCCGTTATTTTATCCTAGCTTTCTAAGATTTCTATGATGTTGTCTAGTCCAAATGGTCCTACTTCCTCGACGCAGTCTAGTCTGGGCTCCTCTCATGCAGCACACGTCAAGATCATTTTTTTCAGATAATTTGAAAAACACCCGTACCCGGTCAGTATCTCAGTCGTGAAATAGTCTAGGATAGGAGGGGGTATCCTATCCAGTTTTTGATTTTAGGAATGAACCGGTAGATCCAGCCTCCCAAGCTAGACCTTTCCCAGTTTTCCTGCCACTTATCGATGGCGTTGTTCTGCTCCTGGGTCTTCATCCCGGAGACCAATTTGTCGATCGTATCTTGTCGTTTAAATAATCTCACTCTCTTCTCCGCCGGTAGAGGTAGTGGTAGTATTGCTACCAAGACGCAATCGAGACCGTTCTACATATATCCCCTGACTACCCTCATTAAAGCAGTCTTCTGTGTTTAACTTCCTATCGTTCTTGTACTTTCCCGCCTCTGGGCTTAGTATGGGCGCTGCATACATCAGGGCGAATTCCACCACTCGATAGTATAGTAAATGCGGCAGGTAAGCTCCGCCGCTGATGTTCGGTAGTATCCGAGAAAGTGTCTCAGCTATTTTCATTGCCTTCGTGGTTGCTTGTGTAAGGTGTCCAAAGAACACCCGATTGCCTCCCATGTTTAGTCTAAGATATTTGACACTTCATTGGTGGTCGAAGTTTACGACTGCCAAATATAACCCTGAATCCCCGAGGCGGCTTCCTACTGGAGATGACTTCCAGAGCTGTAGCAGTGACGACTTTCAAGGTCTCGAGGTCCAGGGCCGAGGCCACCAGAGTCACATCATCAGCGAAGCCAAGTATCATTATATTTTTAAACAGAGAAATTTTCAGGAGGTCATCATACTGGATATTCCACATAATAGGTTCAAGTACGGAGTCCTGCGGGACATCATAGTCCTTGTGCCGTTGCCGTAAACTCAATGGTTCTGCTGGCGGCGGAAGGGAAGGAGGAGCGAGGATTGAACAGCCTCAGAAGCTAGATCTGAAACGCAGCGTCTGGACACTGAGTAAGAATATCGCAGTCCAGAAACAGAAGTGGATTGCTGCAACGGTGGCAGGACCCAGGCGAAAGACTCGGGTTTCCTTTTGAAGGAATGGGGGTCAGAGTCGCCCAGCTTGTGAAACGCGGTGACCTGCAGATAACAGGGCTGGGCGACTCGATAGAGAGGGAAGAAGTGTGAGCGGTCCACTCAACTGCCGTTTGTTGCGTTATGTTTCGCATTTGTGGCGGCTACCTCCAGACCCGCTAGCTCCTCTTCCCGCAAATAACCGATCCGCCTCAATTTGTACATATACTTCCTACCGACATCCCTACGTCTAAGGCAAGGGCCCGCTAGGATAGCCTTACTGATGAGTCCTCTAGCGGGCCCCGGACGAAACGTCTTCCCCTCTCCTTTTCTTCCAAACATCGCCGCATCACCACCGCCAAATTGGTGACCCCGACGACGAACACAACAACGCAACCTTCTGATCGACCTACAGCATTACCTGGAGACGACACGACAACCGAGAGAGACACACAACAGGCACAGGACCAACGCCAGGAGGATTTAAATAGGTCGCGACTACGTAATCCCTCTCCTATCTGCGGAGACGCTTGGCACCCTGGATTTTCACGAGATCCTGGACCTACGACGATGTCAACAGATCGGCGGACATCACGAGGACAACGCGTCACTTTACAGAAAGGCCATGCTAGGATAGTAGCATCTACGGCTCGATTCTGGTAAAAGGCGACTCACTGCCTCGCCACGACGACTGCACGAGCAACGAGTTCACAACCGGCGGAGCAACACGCTCACGACAAGGATGACACACTGACTCATGAAAGCCTCAGCATCAAAATGCGTGTCAGTTCGAGTAGAGCAATGTAGGCTCCCCCTTTACGACCGCGTCGATGCCTATAAGGTACAGAAAAAATGAACGAGTCGCAACAGATAAAAGTTCAGGCAGCTTCAGTAGAAATGCAGCACATCGTCATCGAGTGGGCCAACGAAGGCGATCGTCCTCCTGGAATCTAACATCAAGCATGGAAAGGACCATCTAGATATCGTTATCCACTGGTAGGGGGGTATGTGGCGGCTACCTCCAGACCCGCCAGCAAATGGCTCCTCTTCCCGCAAATAACCGATCCGCCTCAATTTGTATATATACAGACTTCGTCTTTCCTACCAACATCCCAACGTCTAAGGCAAGGGCCCGCTAGGATAGCCTTACTGATGAGTCCTCTAGCGGGCCCCGGACGAAACGTCTTCCCCTCTCCTTTTCTTCCAAACATCGCCGCATCACCACCGCCAAATTGGTGACCCCGACGACGAACACAACAACGCAACCTTCTGATCGACCTACAGCATTACCTGGAGACGACACGACAACCGAGAGAGACACACAACAGGCACAGGACCAACGCCAGGAGGATTTAAATAGGTCGCGACTACGTAATCCCTCTCCTATCTGCGGAGACGCTTGGCACCCTGGATTTTCACGAGATCCTGGACCTACGACGATGTCAACAGATCGGCGGACATCACGAGGACAACGCGTCACTTTACAGAAAGGCCATGCTAGGATAGTAGCATCTACGGCTCGATTCTGGTAAAAGGCGACTCACTGCCTCGCCACGACGACTGCACGAGCAACGAGTTCACAACCGGCGGAGCAACACGCTCACGACAAGGATGACACACTGACTCATGAAAGCCTCAGCATCAAAATGCGTGTCAGTTCGAGTAGAGCAATGTAGACTCCCCCTTTACGACCGCGTCGATGCCTATAAGGTACAGAAAAAATGAACGAGTCGCAACAGATAAAAGTTCAGGCAGCTTCAGTAGAAATGCAGCACATCGTCATCGAGTGGGCCAACGAAGGCGATCGTCCTCCTGGAATCTAACATCAAGCATGGAAAGGACCATCTAGATATCGTTATCCACTGGTAGGGGGGTATGTGGCGGCTACCTCCAGACCCGCCAGCAAATGGCTCCTCTTCCCGCAAATAACCGATCCGCCTCAATTTGTATATATACAGACTTCGTCTTTCCTACCAACATCCCAACGTCTAAGGCAAGGGCCCGCTAGGATAGCCTTACTGATGAGTCCTCTAGCGGGCCCCGGACGAAACGTCTTCCCCTCTCCTTTTCTTCCAAACATCGCCGCATCACCACCGCCAAATTGGTGACCCCGACGACGAACACAACAACGCAACCTTCTGATCGACCTACAGCATTACCTGGAGACGACACGACAACCGAGAGAGACACACAACAGGCACAGGACCAACGCCAGGAGGATTTAAATAGGTCGCGACTACGTAATCCCTCTCCTATCTGCGGAGACGCTTGGCACCCTGGATTTTCACGAGATCCTGGACCTACGACGATGTCAACAGATCGGCGGACATCACGAGGACAACGCGTCACTTTACAGAAAGGCCATGCTAGGATAGTAGCATCTACGGCTCGATTCTGGTAAAAGGCGACTCACTGCCTCGCCACGACGACTGCACGAGCAACGAGTTCACAACCGGCGGAGCAACACGCTCACGACAAGGATGACACACTGACTCATGAAAGCCTCAGCATCAAAATGCGTGTCAGTTCGAGTAGAGCAATGTAGACTCCCCCTTTACGACCGCGTCGATGCCTATAAGGTACAGAAAAAATGAACGAGTCGCAACAGATAAAAGTTCAGGCAGCTTCAGTAGAAATGCAGCACATCGTCATCGAGTGGGCCAACGAAGGCGATCGTCCTCCTGGAATCTAACATCAAGCATGGAAAGGACCATCTAGATATCGTTATCCACTGGTAGGGGGGTATGTGGCGGCTACCTCCAGACCCGCCAGCAAATGGCTCCTCTTCCCGCAAATAACCGATCCGCCTCAATTTGTATATATACAGACTTCGTCTTTCCTACCAACATCCCAACGTCTAAGGCAAGGGCCCGCTAGGATAGCCTTACTGATGAGTCCTCTAGCGGGCCCCGGACGAAACGTCTTCCCCTCTCCTTTTCTTCCAAACATCGCCGCATCACCACCGCCAAATTGGTGACCCCGACGACGAACACAACAACGCAACCTTCTGATCGACCTACAGCATTACCTGGAGACGACACGACAACCGAGAGAGACACACAACAGGCACAGGACCAACGCCAGGAGGATTTAAATAGGTCGCGACTACGTAATCCCTCTCCTATCTGCGGAGACGCTTGGCACCCTGGATTTTCACGAGATCCTGGACCTACGACGATGTCAACAGATCGGCGGACATCACGAGGACAACGCGTCACTTTACAGAAAGGCCATGCTAGGATAGTAGCATCTACGGCTCGATTCTGGTAAAAGGCGACTCACTGCCTCGCCACGACGACTGCACGAGCAACGAGTTCACAACCGGCGGAGCAACACGCTCACGACAAGGATGACACACTGACTCATGAAAGCCTCAGCATCAAAATGCGTGTCAGTTCGAGTAGAGCAATGTAGACTCCCCCTTTACGACCGCGTCGATGCCTATAAGGTACAGAAAAAATGAACGAGTCGCAACAGATAAAAGTTCAGGCAGCTTCAGTAGAAATGCAGCACATCGTCATCGAGTGGGCCAACGAAGGCGATCGTCCTCCTGGAATCTAACATCAAGCATGGAAAGGACCATCTAGATATCGTTATCCACTGGCAGGGGGGTATGTGGCGGCTACCTCCAGACCCGCCAGCAAATGGCTCCTCTTCCCGCAAATAACCGATCCGCCTCAATTTGTATATATACAGACTTCGCCCTTCCTACCAACATCCCAACGTCTAAGGCAAGGGCCCGCTAGGATAGCCTTACTGATGAGTCCTCTAGCGGGCCCCGGACGAAACGTCTTCCCCTTTCCTTTTCTCCTTAACACGGTCGCATCACTATCGCCAAACATTATTTGATATGCTATAAATCGGTAAATTCTTTGAATATTTATATGGGCACGTTGAAACCACGTATTACGATATGCACTAATTTTTGTTGCGCATTCCGTTTGCAATCGTTTTTTGCTTCAATTTTTTACATAAACCCTTTCCCGATACTGAAATGTTGAAATTGTGCAGAATAGAATACATCTTACCGATTTTTATGATTTTTACGAAAACATTTCATTTAAGAATAAATACCCGAAACTTTAAACTTTTCCGAGGAAATTAGAAATACTCTTTAGAAAGAGTAGATGTTGTAAATGGTCCGGCGATGTACGATCTATTTTACAATAATTAATGGCATTATGACGACTTTGAATCGAAGATCGATTCGTAACTAAAAAGATCGAATCGTTTCAAAATCGACCATTCACGAAATTCAAAAGAATTGAATGTCGCTTGAAAAAACCTATTCTTCAGAAAATGGATTCAGAATTCAGAATCGCCCATTCCAATGCCACGCGGTCGTGCCGAAGCTATCTTGTCTGCTGGTCGCATCTGCTTGTCTACAATGTTATGTTCTTATTGGTTCCGAGATTCTGCAATTTGTTTACAGATGTTGCGACTGGTTTAAATTTTGATAGATTCAAAACGTCTTAAAATACTAAAGTATCGAATTCCTGAGCGTGACGGTGATGGGAAGGAGATAAAAATAGGAAATGATATGTAACTGATTAAACAAAAATTGGTCGAAGATTCGTATTGTATTTCTTAAACTTTTCAAAAAGAGAGAGAATGTGCTTTCGGGAAACAGAAAATCAGAGTCGCCGCTCCTTCCATGTAACCTCTAGTCCCAGGATGCGTCGATTGGTGGGGCGTCATGCTGTCCAATCCGAAGGGTAGTCTCGTCGCGTAATAACATCGCGGAGAAGGATCAGGAAGATGTCACGGGTACGGTTGGATTTTCCCACCATCGACCTCGTGCCGGGGAAGAGGCCCTAGAGGAAGCGGTCTGGGATGTGCATGTGTGGGCTACATGACGTCTGCTTGAACGTTGCTCCTCCGATTTCTACGCAAGTTTCTCCGATGAAGGTTTAATGTTGATTTCGATACTCATTTGAGACAAACTATGAGAATTTCAATACCCGTTTTATATCTTTCGAAATGTTCA